TGGCTGGGTGAGCAGTTCCCCAGCTCCCTCAGCACCCTGGGGTGGATCCCATATGGTTCCATAGACTTGTGGGTGTCTAAGTGGCCACTAACTATTTCCCCTTGGAAAGGGTAGTAGAAACATCATTGGATTGGATTGTGGCACATTAATTAGCCATCTGCTTTACCTTATATAATGGGAAATACAGGATGCAAGACTCCCTTTCTTTGTCACTAACCTCAGTCTTGGAGAATTTATTTTTTTCAATTGAAAGTGTATAAAGATCAAAACCACTATTTTTTTTTGTCACAAACTGATCCTGCATTACAGACCTGATTTAGAGCTCTCTGAAAGACAGTGACTCTAGACGTAATCAGATTTTTGGATCAGTTTATTGAGAACAGATTTTATCTCCAACCTGTACAAAAGCCTGTGAGTCACTTAAATCCTACTAATTTTTGCATGCATCAAGTAGTCCCATATTTAAAGCCACAGGAGTCTCATTCCAAGTTTAGTATCCCCTTAACTGATCTGATTCATTCAATGTTAAGTCTTCTTAGCTGAGGTCTTCATGAGCTTCAGAACATGATGTTTTTCTAGCCCCCTGTTCATGCCTTCAAGAGCAGGCATTTTGGCTGTGAGCATCAGCCTGTTCATGGGTGAAAAAGGTGGTGTTCAACCGTAAAGTCAGTTCTTGAACACATAGTCTTGTTACCCCGATGTGAAAGGCAGTGAGATGGATTTAGTCTCTTAGGTAGTTTTTTGCACTACATATTGTATGTTTATGGGTTTAAGAGAAATACAAGTATGATTATATGTATAGCTGGTCTCTGTATGAGGAAGAACACTAAATAAAAGTCCATGAATAGATAATATAACATTAGCAGATACTTGTGTAAATGCTCAGTTATGTGTTCTGGTTGAAGGCTGCTGTCATGAGCAGATTTTGAAATGGTTTATTCTGTATTAATTTCCAGGCCTGGACACCTCAAATAACAGTGGACCACAAATCTTTCCAAATGAAAAAATTGTAGAGGAAGGCTCTGACATCACTCTTTGTTGCATTGGAAGGAAAGGTCAAATGATTAAGAACTTCTTTGTACTCCCAGCTGTGCATGTTTTCAGTCACACAAACAGTCAAGCCAGACTTCTCACTGTGAAAAATGTGACCCATCAAGAAGTGCCTCACATCACAGCCTATTGTCAAGAGTCTTGCAATGAAGAGCAATGCTATGATCAGGCAGTTTTCTTAGTGGGTAGTAAGTGAATGTTCTGTTTTCCTGCTGTTACGAAGTCAAGAATGGCTGTAGGGCCTGGAGGGAGGGGGAAAAAAAAGCTTGCTCTAAGTTGTCATTGTCCTGTCATGTCCAGCTGAACTCTGTTTAACATCTGACTTCGGATCTGTGCACTTGCGTATAAAAAACATTAAAGAATAGCATTGAATGTGTCCAGATTAGTCACATTAATTGATCCTAGGTCTGGTGGCTGATTGTTAAATTTACTTGCCCATATACTAGCTCGGCTTCATTGTCTGTGCATGTGGTAAAAACTCAGCACAGTCCCCTTTTCAAAAGGTAGTAGCAATTTTCACAGACAGAAAACAATAAAGATTAAATTAATGAATGTATGAATATAACAAAAAATAATAATATACAGAAGTGTTTGGATTCCCATTAATTTACGATGTTACCCTGATTTTCTCATCAGACTGGTCATTGAATAAGCATAATTGAAATAATAACATCCATAGTAAACCAGACTTTGTACATATCTAGTTTGTTAATATAGTAAAAAGGTTGATGACTTTTGCCTTGACTGCCATGCTTTTGGTATTTTTTTGGCTTTTCCCTCTGACAAGAACTGCCTGATAGACCTAGTGATTTTTCCTGCCAAACTCAAGACCTGAGAACAGTAACATGTACTTGGAGCCAAGGAGGAGACACCTATCTCCATGGACGTAATTCCCCTAAATACACCTTGTCTGAAGAGTAAGTCTCTGCATTATGTTGACTCTGGCCTGTGCTGTACACAAGAGTCACGTTCTTTCCTTTAAAATCTGTGTAAATGTTTATCCTTGTTGCAATTAGCTGCCTGTCTGTTTACAGACCACTGATCAGCTCATTTAACAAAGTTAGAGCAGTGCAGAACTGCTCAGAATTCGACTACCTATCACAAAGTTGCAGGTCCCTCAGACCAGGTTCTGCTTGATAAAGTTTGTTCTAACAATTCTTTTGAGCTAATTTGTTTGGGTATCTTTAAGTAGGTATGGAGACACCCTGTGAACGGGTCATAGATAACTTAGAAGTTTAAGGTAATTATTGGGTAACACACAGTGGATAACTGGGATTTAATCAGCTGGTAGGCTGAGTATTAATGTGTTCGCGATCCACTGACACTAACGCTGACTCAAACTGAAGATTCTCAGCTAACCCTGTTAGGCTGTTGTCGTGGTTTAACCTTATCTGGCGATTAAGTACCACACAGTCGCTTGCTCCCCTCCTACCCCCACCCCAGTGCAGGAGGAGAGTCAAAGGAAAAGACAAGGAAGCTCGTAAAGTTGAGATGAGAACTATTTAATAATATAAATGAAAATTAGTGATACTAATACTAATAATACTGCTACTAATCTAAACCAACAAAAAATAGAACATGTACAGTAGCTCACCACAGCCAGGTCCCAGACCAGCAAAGAATCCCTGCCTGAGAGCCTCAGAGCAACAATCCAACTGGGACAAAATGCCAGCAGACCCCCCAGTCCACTAACAAAGGAACCTGCCCCACCACCAAACAACTGCCAAGAGCTAACAAAAGGAGCTAATGACCCAGCTGTCAGCTAGCCCAAAGCAAACTTCATGCCTTCAAACCTGCGCATGTACACACCCAGCCTGACCCTGAGCCTGAGGTGCCATGGAATGAAACACTCTCCCAGCCACTCTGGGCCAGCCATCTGCACTGGGAAGTAAAACAGCCTGAAACCAGCACATCTGATTAGTCTCCCTAGTTCTTTTTGTTTAGGACGTTATAATTTTACAAGCTGGTGTTTTTACGTTCTTGAGTCCTTGAGCTACTGAAAATCCTATCTCAAAAACCTGACTTCGTCCTATAATTTTGGCTTATTTTTGTAAAATCTCTCTGCAGACTTTGAGAGCTCTTTCTTAGTAGTCTGAGTCAAGGTTACACAGCTGTGGCATATCAGACCTGGCCCTCGGATCCTTGTGACCGAGTCATCTAAATGGAGAGGACAGGGGCTTTACAGCAGGGTCTGCAGAGAAAGAGGAACTCTTAAAACAGGACAGAAGCCTCATCATCACCACAAAATTTCATCAAAAGGTAGCAGCAGAAGGCAGGTCGTCATGGCACAAACCTTCATGGCCTCTGCATCATTCACTTCCGTTAAGATATTATGATGACGATTTGAAAACGGAAGGTTAGAAGCTGCACTTGAAATCACCGCTTTGTTTAAAAGCGTAATGGTAGACATGTGAGTGATTTAATTCTTGGCAAGTATGTCCCTGGTTTAGAATTTCCACGAGGAAATCACTAAAAGTAAAAGCAATTTAGCTGTATCTTAAAAGGATGAAGTGAACTTAGACTTTGAAGAAAACTTCTTTCTAATCATAAGAATACCTATATTCATCCTACTTCAGGCTAGGGGAAAGAACTGGGTGGCTTCTTACAGTCCCCCTCAGCCTTACTTTTTATGATGCTGTATTCTAGTTGGGCATCAAAAATTTCAACACCTATTTCAATTGTACATTATGGAAAAATGTCTTTCTCTTTTCTCTCCCGTCCCCCCACCCCTTTCTTTGATAGGTTTTCCCAAAGAACGGTTCCGTGCACAGTAAGTTGTTCCAAGCAGTGCTCGTGTTCTTGGGATATAGGCCAGCAGAGGATGTGTAATATCACAGTGACTGTGGAAAACCCACTGGGAAAGAAAACTGCCATGGATGTTTTTGATGTAACTCACAGAAGTAAGGTCTTTTCTATGTCTTTATTGAGAGTTTTTTGTTGCAGGCCTTGTCCTCCTCCTGATCTTAATACTTGAGTGCCCCCATTTAAAGATTGGAAGTCCTTGATTTTTATCTTCACGGTTTTATTAGTTATCTTCCCCTATGCTATAGTTATCTGCTGTCTCTTCAGTGTCAGCTTTGCAAAGTTGTGTTGATGGTAGAAAACAGCTTCACTCCAAACATCAGATTTGGTTATTGAAATGATCCCTTAAGGCTTCAAAATCTGCTGCTTTGCTGAAGCTAGTTCATAGTATAGTATATTATCAACATGATACAAGGTTATAAAATGAGTTCAAGAAAAATACCTCTGGAGGTTACTTGGGAATTCAGTCCTTTCTCCAGATACTACTGTCCTTCCAAAATAAGATGGAGATGCAAATGACATGTGATAGACGTGTAAGCAGCTTGTAAGCAGGAAGAAGGTGGAGGAACAAACTGTCAGGTTGTAGTGAGACAACACCGTATTATAAACAGTTTTCATGAGAAATAAGTCTAAAATAGGTTACATTCAATGTGCTAAGTACATCAAAGTTTTACAGTTTTCTTGCAAGTTAAAGAAATGATACTTGGTCATTATGATGAGATAACCTTTTAAATAGGAGTTTCTGTAATGTTTTTTGTTTCCTCTGATCCTGGACATATTTATGATAGAGTTTTCTGTACTTAAAGGATGTCACCACGTAAAGGAAAACTGAAGTCTGTAATTTCTAATTCTGCATGTCATAGCTCGGACCTTCTGTATCAAACACAAGCTCCTCTGAGTCTGTAATTCCTCAAATTGTACTTCATGGTCCTTGAAGTTCAAAGATAACAGCCAAAGCTGTAAACATAACCCTCACTCGCATTGCCGTATCTTAGTCCTTACCGTTGGGCTGATAATACGGGAGAGTTTGAGATCTGCTGCTCTCGCTGAACACAGCTTACATAGCGGTGAAGGACCTCAGGAATCTTTTGGAAGAAGTAGCATTGGCACTGTTTACCAGAGAGTAACTACTGGCGTGAGTCAACGTAAGAGTTGTGAACAGAACTTCTGATGAAGAGGATTCTGGGCTGTAGAAATGCGGCAAACATTACTCACCAAGCTACATCAGGAGCCTCCGCCAGGCGTGCTGGATTACAGAATTTTACTGGATTTGCAGTATAAGCCTCTGACTGTTTCTTTTGTTCATGAGCTAAAATATTTCCAAGTCAGCACAATGAGTTTCTTTAATCTTGTATAACATTTACTTACATTTACATTCTGAAATGAATTTTTATTAATTTATATCTGCTTCTGCTAGACTGGCAGGAAATCTGTATTTCTTATATGCTTTTACCACTCAGCTAAAATACCTTAAAATACTTTTGCATATATTTTATGTTTTACAAGAGCTAACTCGGATTTTCCATTGGCAGTTTATCCCACTGCACCTTTCCAGCTGTCAGAAGAATCCAAAGATACAGAAATCACATTATATTGGAAACATCGGAATAAAGGAATTGAACTCTTTTGTCAGACTGAACTGCTCCAACCTGATGGAAAAGTAGAACTGGTATGAAATGTGAATTTCATTCAGAAAAACATAGAGAGTCTCTTTTTGATGCGAGATTAAAAAATAATTCTCCAGGAATACAAGGACACTCTCAATCTCATCAGCGTGTTGATGCATCTGTTTTCTAGATTTGTTTGCTCCCAAGCTCAACACCAATGAAGTGGTCCACATGGCAGCCTTTTCTGGCAATAGTTCATATTCCCAACTCTTCCTGTACTGCTGGCTGAGGTGGGAGTGTGACCGGTCTGCGTATGTGGCTATGTCCTCTGCCGGGTGGGTTCTGAGGTTTGCTGAAGTAACTGTAAATACTTACAGGAATTACAGTTGCTCTTAGCTGTTGCTGATCTTGATTTGTCGTGGTTTTCTGACTCAAAACTTCTTACACACAGATGGTGGAGAGGTGTGTTGAAGGCTTTTTTTATCTTTGTCTGGGACATTTTTGTGTGCTATTGGCTGTACTTGATGGTAGTGTGTCTGGTTGCTAGTTAGGGAAGCCCAGAACAGTTTTTCTTCCCATCCTCTCCCATCTCCTTGAACATTATTTGAATAGACTCCTTGTCTCGTCCCACCTCTTTCGCGAACAGTGAGGTTGCTTGACTCGTTGCATACGTACTGTCGTTCTCTGTAGCCCCCTTCTCATGAGGGCAGCTTGCCTCTGCCTATAAAAAGGCATTATGAAGGTCAGGAGCAAGCTGTGTCTGAAGCGTTGCTCAAGAGGTGTTTGATCAAAAGGCTGCTGCAGTTGACCATTGCAGGAGACAGTTTAGAGGAGAGTTGGTTTAAAAGTTAGTTTTTGACTCTTACCAGAACTCACCCTTCCTCCTACGAGGGAGTGGGGGAGAAGGTTGGGAAAAAAATGGGAAGAGAAGTAGCTGTAGATGCTGTGCATTGAGCTGGAACAGCATAGTACTTAGATGAACCGAGTAAGGGACCCAGACTGGGCGAGGATAGTATCTCAGTAAATTCCCTCCTTGATGTACAGAGTAATCATTTGGCAGATTGAGAGTGACTCCTACTCAGTTAATTACACAGAGTCAGCTTGCAGACCTCTTTTTGGATTTCCCAGCCTTTGGATCTCATGTATTTTTTTTTTACAGTTGTTCCATGATTATCATTTCCAAGTCAAGCTTAACTGGCTACTGTAGGATCTGGAGGAAGAAACTATTTTTTCAGGCAAAACCCTCTTGCTGATGAAGCTGAACTGAGCTCTGAATGCTTTGTTGTTCTGTCTTGCAGCATAATAATTCAGACATGCATCTCCATTATGCCAGCATTGCCCTGGGCGGACTGCAGCCGTTCACCGAATACACAGCCAGAGTACGCTGCGGGGCAGCTAAGCACTTCTGGAGGTGGAGCGAATGGAGTGAAGCCCGAACCATCAGAACAGGGGAAGCACGTATGTCCAGCCTCTTGAGAAGGGGAGCTTGAAGGAGGTTCTTCACTTGCTGCCTCTGTTTTCTCCTTGCTACTCTTCTGCTGTGTAGCTAAAGCAGAGGCTTGTTGCATGCATGAAAGGAGAAGCACACCAAGCAAACATTAAGAAGGTGGCTGCTTAAACAACTGTCGTCCTACCTGCCGTTTCATTCAGGGCAGGCAGTGGGAAATCCAGATGACTGGGAGGATGAGCAGACTGAGTTAGTGTTCTGTGAGGGCAGGAGGAACTGTGCAGAGGCGGGAACAAGCACCTGGGAACTGCAAGCACAGAAGGATTTTTCTTGGGAAATGAAGCAGACAAAAGAATGAAAAAGGAGTAAGAAGTTAAGTTGGATGAGGCTTGGAGCAACCTGACCTATCCTGACGAGCGCAGGGGGCTTGGAACTAGATGTTCAAACCATTCTGTGATTCAGTGATATTTTGGCAAGACCTGGGAGTGATGGGGAAAGAGATCTTTTGGTGGTGGAATCTCTTCAAATGAGAGGAAGCAAGTGAACAGTTTATCCTTTCTGCACCTAGAGCATCTTTGTTTTGCTGTATTTACTGCAGCTCCGTCAGGGGAACTGGACATCTGGAGAGAAATTACACCAGTTCTGGGAGGGCGGAATGTGACCTTGTTCTGGAAGGTGAGACATGGGTAGAGAAATGGAAACAAAACCCTGCAGAAAGGGGTTGGTAACTTCTGACATGAAGTTTAGTAAGTTTGTGTGCACTTAATTGCAATTCAGTGTGAAAAGGTATCTGTGTGATGGTGTGGTGTCCTGGCATTTTAGACATTTACTTCTGTTTTTCTAAGCATTATCACGAGACAAATCCCATTACTGAGATTTCTGCTTTTCCATTTCAACCAGTATGCGTATGTATGTATGTAAGGAATGTTTCTGTTCTTACAGAAGTAATACATCCAATTAATCAGTTAAAGTTCTAATCGCTCCTCTCATATCTTTTTGGCAAAATTTACTAAGTAGTTGGTGTCTACCCACATATTTTTCTTCAGCAATCACCAAGTTTTCGAGCAAATGGAAGAAGTATTTCCTATGAAGTAACCTGGGAAAAAGTAGAAGACGGCTCTAAGCCTGAAAGCATCTCCTTTTCATCAGTCTACAATAGCACAAGGATTTCCATTGACAACCATTCCTACAGAATCAGTGTCATGGCAAAGAACAGTGTTAACTATTCACTTCCTTCAGTATTGATCATCCCTAGAGCTACAGGTAACAGCAGGCGCATTTCCAGTTGAACTTAGATGCCCATTATGAGACTTCTGTTTCCATCTGTTTTGAGTGAACTGATAATTTACTGTCTTGGGGGAACAAACTATCCTGGCCTGCTAACTCACATCAATACTGTCTGGAAATCATTACTGTATTTTTGCCTTTAGGGTGGTAACTGTACGTATACTAAGCTTAAGTGCCTTGACCTATCCATTTCAACAGAAAGTCAGTTTTTCACAGGCAGTTTTCACAGAGAAAAAAACATTTAGCCTTAAACTAGGGCCTGAGACCTGTGGCATGCATGGTGAAGGTACAGCCAGTGCCTGGCAGGGAACTATTTGTGTGTGATTAACCTCTTGTGATTTTCCGTTTATGACTCCAGGTTCTGCAGATGAGTTCTTTTTATGAATAGGTAGAAATAAATACTGGATAATTTTTGAGCTGTCAGCTCTCATCATGTGAAAGCGCCCCTATGTCTGATAGTGAAGGAATACAGCTATTTTATTATTAACAGTTTAGTATAGAAACTATATTGATCTTGATTCATGAACCTGAGGTCTCACACGGGAAAGTAACAGAGCCTGTTTTGTTCATTCCTAGGCACTGAAGAAGAGCTCAGTGGTTCAGAGGTTAAAGAAGAACAGGTTAATGGTTCAGCTGATGGCATTTTTGTTTCATGGGAGCCCAGACATATATATGACAGTTACATCATCGATTGGTGCAACTTCCCGATGTTGCAGCCTTGTGATCTGCAGTGGAAGAAATTCGGGCCAAACACTTCCAGTGCTCTGATCAACTCAGGTGAAAGCCGAACAATTTTTCTTTCTGCTGTCTGTGCAGTAGTCTCTTATGGATTGCTGTGGGCATTGACTGAATTTAGGAAACAAATCCTGTGGGATACCGAAGTATGTGCAGTGCAGGGGTAATTCTTCAAAGACATGTGGCATCATGTTTTGCCTAGCAAATGAAATGGACACCACAAATGTGCCAGCACCCTTAAGCCTTGGAAATCTGCATAGTGTTTTAGAAACAAACTCTTCAAGGAGCTTGTAGTTAACACCTTGAAGGAGGATGGTGGGGTTAATGGAGGAGTTAAAAATCTTTTAGCAGGAGAGATGCAAAATGGAGCTCTGCCTGACGTGTAACATGGGCCAGAGGTTTAGATTCCAGAAATTTAACACCCACTGTGTAGTGAGGGGTTTAGCGCTGCCAGTGTGCCACAAATCATATGCCTCAGCACGCGTCCTTGCTTAGGACCAGTTGGGTGGTTTTCAGCCCAGTGGTGGCCATGAGACCTAAATCCTGTCTGGCTGCGTGGAAGTTGCTCCGATATACTTCCACAGCTGCAGGAATATAGCCTGCCTGGGGTGTCTTCAGCTAAGAGTTCACACTGGAATGAAACATGTTTGAACAAAACTTGTCTGAACACATTTCAACACGCAGTAAAGGAACTGCACTTCAGTTCACAGGAACACACGGGAGCCTGTGTCCTCACTCATGGCGAGTGTGGCAACACAGGAAAACTGGCATCCCATTCTTCAGTGGGTTGCACTTGGTTAACCTGAGTGGGAGTGGATGTCAGTGAGGTTAACACGGAATCCTGACACATGGGTCTGTGTCTGCATTCAACAGACCAAAACACAACCTCTGCCTGTGCCAGAATCGGAAATGAAATCATCTTGCTCTTTGATGCATTCGGGGTCTATTGTGCACTCATCTTGAATATTCTAGGGCAACAAATATATATTACCCTCCCCCCCCCCATCAATTCTCTCTCTCAGACAGAATAAATGTGTTCAGTTCACCTTACGCATACTAAGAATTGGTTTACCCTCTGTCTCCTTCAGTTGCTTTAATAGCACAATAGCACACAAAGAAGAATTCTAGTGGGTTATAGACCTCTGTAAGAAAGCAGGGAAGAGCAAAACCAAAACAAAACCATAACCTACTTTTGTAATCAGTTCCAATATTTTTTAGCTGCTTTTGTACCAGGGGTGAGATACAACTTCCACATCTATGGATCTGTTGCTAATAGAGCCTGCTTACTGGAGAAGAAGACGGGTTATCTCAGGGAGCTACGTAAGTTGGCAAAATTTTTAGGGTTTATGTATTTGCTAAATTCATTTGTCACTAACAGAGGAATTCTGCAGCCCTCCTCCTGCAACGAGCTAAGAATGTATGTTCTGCATTGTTTCTGTACCATCATTTAAAAGTTATACAAGAGCATACACAGCCCTGCATCAGGGTATTCGGCTCGTGCAGTGACCAGGTGGGGTCTGTGTTAATTAGAAGAGCTAAAAAAAGCCGTGATTAGCAGTGACTTCTGTGTATAATGTGGGCTGCTTGAAGACTCTGTGAAATTGACAGTTTTTGTGGGGTGCTTTGGCTTTGTTCAGCTTTTAATTACCAGTAAGATATAAACACCACGTGAGAATTTAGACGTTTTTCAAGTGAGAAGATAAACATTCTTGAATAATAACGGCAAGTTTAATTTCAATTTCCTTTCTTCCAGCTACCCTCCTTGATCCTACTGTGGAAAAGGTGGAACTGACTTTCAATGCTGTGACACTGTCTTGGGATTCTTACCGCACAAATGAGTCCCAGCCTGGTTTCGTAAAAGGCTACCATGTGTATGTGTCACCTGTGCAAGGGGACTGCACTTTGAAAGGATCCAAAAAACATGTTCTTCCAGGTAACGGAGCTCTGGGATTTAGGAAGTTGTGCTGTTGATATAGATGAAAGACTTTGCGGCTGCTGCTGCTATTGCAGCCTCTTAGCTCACGTTAGGCAAGCAGAACAGCTCACTGGGCAACATAGTGCTGCTTTTGATTCCTTTAAGGCTTGAGGTGCTAATGGGCGGAAGAGGGTTGTGGCTTTTTACGGCCCTGTCCTGTTGTCTGTAGCTCCTCTGAACTCCAGCATGAGCTCCAGGAAGGATTCTTGCAGTACTGTAGGAGGGAGTCAGGTTTCTGCCTCTTGTGATCTGGGTTCTGGGTGAATTTCAAAAACATCTGTTTGTGGTCTACTTGGATGAGAGTCATAGGAAGCATGTTGGTTTTACTAGGATTTGGTGTATTATAGAAACAGATGGGATACAATTTATTTCCTTCAGAATTGGAGCACTGTGTAAATTCCCCATTTAAATTCTTTCACAGTGAAAGTATTTGTGGCTGCACTCTTCGGTGGAGTTCCTTCAGCAGAACTGAGCTGTGGGGTGGCACCAAGCCACATTTAAACTTTTGCATCTGATCTTCCTGCTCCACACTCAAAACTGCTCCAGATGACCTTGCTCCATTGTGATTTTCAGATATTTCCAACATGTTCAAGGATACGTTTTGTTTTTCCCTTGCCTCTTCTTCAGCTGGGTCATGTCCTGTATCAGAGCCTTCTGCTCATTATACTAGTTCCAGGCTGAAAAGCTTAGTTTGACCTGAAGGAAGCTTATGTAGGAGTTCCTGTCAGAACTAAACTAACCATAGAAGCACCGTATTCTGCAAGTAATCCCAGTTACATTAAAGTCGAAGATTTCCTCCTTCCCAGTTCGTCTGAGCAAGCAGACAAGGGGTGTGACTGGGAGCAGGAGAAATAAGCTAACCCTTTTCTCCCTGGGGTATGGTAGTTGCACAATAGAGAGGCAAAAAAGGTTTTTTTCAGGCAGAGATTTCTTGCTTTCCATTATCTTCAAATAATTTGAGTTAAGCTTAAAGGCTACAGGATACTGGCAAAGAAAAGAAAATGGCAAAACCTAAACCATTCTGTTAAAATGCTCTAGTAAAAGGAAACTAAAGAGTTGCAGCTTTTGACAGCAAGCTATTAGGTGGTCTGCCAGAGGATGGGCAATGCTGTGGGCAGTCGGGTTAGGAGGGATGTGAGTTCAGCCTCGGGGCAATGAGTCAGGATGCATCATCCTTCTCAGAAGGAAGCCTGCAAATTACAAAGAAGGCGGGTTACAAGTGTTTTGTTATTTCAGTGGTACAGGGTCTCAGTTACGCTGACTCTTAACAACTGGGGGAGATGTTACTCCGAATTTCAATACGTAAAGGGGGTCTTTTAAGAAAAATGGACTTTTTACAAGGGCCTGTAGTGACAGGACAAGGGGTAATGGGTTTAAATTGGAAGTGGGGAGGTTTAGATTGGATATCAGCAAAAAATTCTTCCCGGAGAGGGTGGTGAGGCACTGGCAGAGGTTTCCCAGAGAAGCTGTGGATGCCCCATCCCTGGAAGTGTTCAAGGCCAGGCTGGATGAGGCTTTGAGCAACCTGACCTAGTGGAAGGTGTCCCTGCCCATGGCAGGGCGGTTGGAACTAGAACAATTCTGAGGTCCCTTCCAACCCAAATAATTCTGTGATTCTATCTTACCTGTTTCGTTTCAGATGATTCAGTGCTATGTAAATACACAATTGAAAACCCAGAGGAAAAGAGATACACTGTGAAACACCTACGGTCAAACACAAAATACAAACTAGTCGTTAAAGCATATACAGGTGGAGGAGAGACTCCCATTGTTAACTTCATACACATAGATACACCATTTAACTGTGAGTATTGACTGTGGAAAGTTTGCCTCCTAGAAGAAGGATGGGTTGATTTAAAAGGTTAGAGTAATCTTCCTTCCTCAAGGGAAAATATTTAATACAATGTAACATCCACTTGAGAAAGGATCCAACTGAGAAAAGAAATGTGCATACCAACATGACATTTTAATACTTTTAAGTAGCTATGGTTGGGTTTTTTAATTTTAAAATAATAATAATTTTGCATCCTTCCTTGAGACTTGTATCTTTCTGGGAAATAGCTTAATATGTTCACATTTGCAAGATTAGTGACCCTGTTGGCTAGAATGCACTGAAGAATTGCATTTGGATTTGACGAGTTTTCTAATTTCTAATCCTAATATGGAAAAAAACTACAGACCCGTGTGCAAACAGGTAATTTCTGCATGGGCTCTTGAAGTTCTAATGTTGATTCTTATTCTCATCAGGCTTTAAATACATTGCCAAGCAAAGTCCTTCCTAAGACAGTAAGAAAGGGTTGTTGGCTTGAGCGTTGCAGTTTGCTAACCAGGCAGGTTTGATCATCCAAGCAGAACAGGAAACCACTGGCCTGTAGCTCTGTTCCCTTGAAAACACCACTCAGCAGTCGTGGTTATGAAATTTGGGATCCAAATCAGAGATGCTTGGTTTTGAAAAATTTCTTTGGGGGTGGAGGTGAAGACAGAGGGGTAGGAAAGGGTGCAGCATTGGCTCATGCAAGGATATTTTAGGCTAAGTAGCGGAACAGTGTCTAAACCCCTCACGTTCGCCTCGGAGAGGGAGTTTCACATCTTACACCTGTGGTCAGCTGCTGTGTGCCAGCCTTCCCTTGTGCAGGCATGGGGACTTGTACAGCCATCCATGGAGTCAGAATGGGGGCTTAATTAACCCAGGAAAGGTAAAAGGAGAACGTAATGTATCCTACTCCCTGCTGTGGTGTGTGGTAGGGACACACAGACTCGCTGGCACAGGGCAAGAGGGCATGGGCCAGGGCGAAGGGAGAGCAAGCACCAAGTAGTGCTTCCTGCCAGCCTGCTTATTGCAGCCTCAGCTGCTGGTGAAAACCGCAGCCCAAGGCTGTGTCCTCCAGCTAGGAGGAAATTCCAAGGTTCTTGTGTCAGCATAAATCCTAGGAGAGCAAGAACACTTGTGTAGTGTCTGTCCTCCTATAGTCTATCCATGCTGGAGGAGCAGATGTGCTGTCAGCGTCCCACAGTACAAATCTGTCCTCTTCGGGAATCTGACAAAAATCCTAAAACAAATAGTTGAGAGTATCATTGTCGTAACTTTTGGCAATTTGCTCATATAGTTAAGATGCCAACATGAGGCCAAATTAAAAGCAATCTAGTAATAATTCAATTTTGGTAAAGGAAATCAAGGTGCAAAGACTGTATCCCAGTACTTCCAGCGTACCTTGCAAACCACAGACCACACACGGCTGAGCTGTCCCACGTGGGCTTGATGTCATTTTTTTCCCAGAAACTTAGGCTATGTTAACAGGTGAGAGGTTGAAAACAAACTTTTAAAGTATTTTTTCTTTCACAGCAAACATGCTGTACCTTCTAGTCCTGCTAGTGATAGTTCCGTCACTAGTAGCAGCTATATGCCGCTGGAAGAAGAAGTGGTAAGTGATAATGCATTTTTCTGCTGCAGACAGAGGGCGTAACGAGCGTAATTCACAAACCGCAGCTGCAGCTTGTTGCTTCCAGCCTGTTGTAGGGCCTCACTTGTTTTTTCCTTTGGCTGTCCAACTGTGCGGATCTTCTAAGTATTTGGCTTGTGGCACTGCTGAGTGTGAAACACCTGCTGCTGTTTCCGTACACATCTACGTGTGGCTTCTGCTGGTAGAGCATGCTTTGAGAGAACGAAAATGTCACCTGTTCTGCTCCCTTATTTCCAGGGTGAAGGAGTGCTGCTGTCCTGTAATACCTAGTCCTAACAAGAGCAAAGTACTGTCATTCAAAGAGTTTAAGGTAAGATCACCAAAAATCTAGTATTTCTGATTTTTCCATTCTTTGATGAGTAAAGACTCAGAAAAATATTTTTCTTGTGTTGACTACATTTGAAAATGAGTGACACTCATTAGACAGAAATTAACATAATGCAGCATCATTGCGTAGTAGAAAATCCTCCTTTTGGTATTTGTGTGACTCTGCAGTGATCAGTTCACATTCTGGCGTCCGCTGCTGCAAGACAGTGGAAGCATCACTGGAGCACAAATTAAATCCTTTGATGCAGTAGGCAATTGTTCCAGTATTGCTCTTCAAAACCCATCTCTGTCTGCACACGACAGACCAGCCGACCCTGCATTTTGCTGCAGTGACCTGAATGCACCCGCGCCTCCTGCCCCACAGGTCCCTCAGCTGCAGGGCCCAGCAGCCACGCACTTGCTGGCTCTTGGGAGGATGCAGGGGGCTCGGCCACGTCTGGCTGGGAGCAAAGGATTGGCAAAAGGCCTCTGCTACTTCTTGCAGGCCCTCTGAACCAGGACCCGCTGCCTCCATGCAACCCGGGGTTGTCTTTACGCTGGCACGCGTGGGCGGCTGCTGTTCCCGCTGGTGGTGTTGGCTGAACACCGGCAGCACAGGGAGGAGACTGCTGCTGCCCTCCCGTTGGTGGTTCAGGCTGGAAACTGAAACTGCACGCGTCAAAAACCTGGCAAAGGCTTTAGAGGGACTTAACATAAGACCTACGTCTTCAAATGTAGCCATACTGAACTTACTTAGGAAAGGAATCCCTAAATAAGTACTCTGATAAATTCTGCATAAAGTACAGCTTCCTTTGAACATTCCATACATTTGTGTTCCTTCAAATTCTGCTCACTCATCTGAAAAAAGCAAACAAAAAAAATTGCAAGACAATATTAGAAGTGCTTGAAGTAGTAACTCCCCTTCCTTTACTCTGGACTTTTGTTTTTCTTGTAGACTGGTTCTGAGAAAGTGCTGAAAATCAGTGACTGCATTCCTGACACGGTAACAGTGGACGGTAAAGCCGAAGCCCAGAAACTACATCTATGGAGGCAGCTGTCTTCAGCACCAACAGAAGATAAGATTGGTCACAATTCTTCCTGGATTTACATCAACAAAAACGCAGAGAGAGACTTTACACCCACACCTACACCTCAGAATCATACTTGGTTTGAAAATTTTGCTTATTCTTCTCATCTTGCCGTTGAATCTGATCCCCATCGCACACGGGACACACGCGAAGCAAGCAAGCCAGGACTGTCAGGAGTGCTGTACCAGCCACACTACTACTTCGATATTTTTAATGACGATGATGCTGCCTCAACCCCCAGAGAGACAGCTGGCAGAAAGGCCAGTCTGCGATACATTTCACAAACAGACGTGCACTGCCTGGGGAGGAGGCTGTGATGCACTGTCCTCCACCGAGTCCAGCCTCCGTTTGGTTACACACTATAAACAAGAACGTCTAAAGCCGCAACTTCTCTGTTTGATGGAAGCTTTCACAAGACCAACTGCCCTACTGCTGTTAACGCTGTGAAGATCTCGCTTCAGGACGTTTAGAAACGCCGACTTGTGCGAGGAACGACGCACTCTACGGTTTCAGTGCAAGGTATGGGCGTTCTGCGAGGTTTACAGGCGGTTCTGTGGCCTCTGTTGTGTCAGATCACAGCCGTTTCTCAGAGCCTGGTGCAAAGAACTACTCTGTTTTGCAGAGGTGAAAAATCTGTGTAGAAAGTAGAATATCAGGTTAAACAAGCAGGTAGGTTGTGCTCAAAGACTGCATTTCCACTGCAGTATTCTGCACGCTTACTGCGTGCTCTGGCTGCCCCAGCCAGCCCATGTTGTGGGCTGCTGCTCCCAGTTTCTGCTGCTGGGGGGTTCCCTGCGCTTCTGCCTTCTCTGCCTGAAGAGGGACCCTGTAAAATCCTAACCAAAACCTTCTTAACTCCCCACATCCCTTCACGGAAAGGCGCTGTTCCTCCAGCAGGACAGCTGCTTGCATAGGCACCCTCTCTCCCGCTGTGCCCATGAACTTAACTGCTTTTGGCATTAACCCTTGCACTGCTGAGGGCGCCCCCAACAGCCAGGTAAGCAGACAGCGTCATCAGACCCCGTTTGTAAAGAACGCCATATTCAGGCTGCAGTCAGATAGGTCTTCCAACACCACTTTCGCATGTGTCACAATAATTTGGTTTTAACACTTAATCTCTGCAGTAGGCAGCAGTGAATTTGGTCTTCCACGCTCATTAAAAAAATTGACACATCTGCAACGAAGCAGAACAGTTGGACTTGTATCTGGAAATCTCGCCAGATTAACCTCCTCAGTGTGCAAGGAACCCTTTGGTTTTGCCTAACTCTAATGCTGCTGCCTGATCTTTCACAAACAAACCAATTCAGCTTAGAGCACAGAATTACCAGTTCTCAGGTGTGAAAAGATGAAGTGTTGTTTACAATTTCATCTTCAGCAAATTTGTTACAATGCAGTTACTTATTCACTGTGCTTAACTAGCTAATCTCTCTTCCTAAAAAACGAAGCTGCAGACAGGTACTGGGCCACATGTGGGTTTCGTCCTGCTGCTTACAGATGTTGTTGTAACGTCCCTGCGCTGTGTTGCAACAGGAACACCCCGAAACCTTACGCAGACCTCTGCTGAGCCGCGGGAGGGGGCTGCGGGCGGGCAGGCCAAGGTGAGGAAGGGGGTACGAGCACAGGGGCAGCTGGCGGTGCGTATCGCTGACTGGGTACCTCTACCCGCTGGGCCGTGTCCACCCCTGGGTCATGCACAGACCCACCTGAGAAGCAAGAACGAAAATGCAGCACAGTCATCCCCTTCAGCCAGGGGAGTAGGGAAGCGCTGCTGGTCACATCTGGCTGCGCTGCAGCTTGGCAGAGAAGCGAGAAAGGAGGCTGATGCTATCCAGTGGAGACATCCCAGGGAAACTGTTCCTCCCTGTGCGTTACCTTCCTGTGAGCTACAGCAAGTATGAAAGTTTGATACCGCAGTATCCTTAGGACTTGGAACATTTCCTTCTCCAAAGCGTTTCATCACATCGTATGTACCTATGTAGTTTAAAAGCTGTACTGCTGGAAAAAAGACCAGTAACCAGGAGGGAACTGTTTTGCCAGTACCGACATAAAACTTCATTGGAAAAGGCGGCCTGGTTATTTAAAAAGGCCTGAAAGGTACCCTAAATCCCGTTACGTGTCTAAGGAGTTCTGATGATACAGGAGTCAGACTATCTGTGAAACACCTCAGGTTTCAACTGCTGCCGCTCCTCGTGCCAGAGGGGATGGCTGTAACAAGGTGCACGTTCCCACTTCTGGAAAGGCTGCCGGCACTGCGGCTGCGTGCTCGGCCCAGGGAGTGAGGGGGGGCATGCCACCAGTGGTGCCTTTCCTGATGGCGGGGTGACACCCCGGCCTGCTGGAGACCTCCCAGCCCAGCTCTGGCAGAAGCAGCTTCCTTGGTAATTCCTGGGGGGATCCTGCATGGGTAAAACATCATTACCTGGGAGCATGGAAACACTTCCCGATTGCTCCTCGAGGTGACGAGAAGCTGGCTCCTCCCCACCTATAACCCTTTCTGCTTGCTGGCCCCGACGGGTGGCGTTAACCACCCGTGCTGAAAAGCGCACAAACAGAGGATTCCAAGGAGGATAATGCTTTCGTGCTGGCCAAAGGGCGCCAGACCTCGAGACTGGAAAAGTGTTTCTGCGTGGGTGGGCAGCATGTACAGTTTTTGTATTTTTCAGACACCTGTCTCGCATTAAAGGCTGAATGAATTCAAAACTGTAAACTTTACTTATGTCATATTTTTGTTTATAATTCAACTTTCACAGATGTTCCTGAAACACTTAAACCGTGACATAATGGAAAATTATTGTGACTATCAGTATGCTCAATTTTTTCAAATAAAAATAGTGTGCAACCTATTAGGAGAGTCCTCTTCCTATTTTTGCTTAGCACCTGGCAAAGCAATAATGTAAAACACATTTGTTTGGAAAGCTTCAGGTCATTCTAGTTAATTAGTCACTTCCAAACATAAATAGAATTCCAACCCATTTCTGGTGCCAAGAGGTACATACGAGACCACAACAACTGTGAGAAGTTTAAGTACATTTTATTAACAATGCATCCCTTTGATAAGATGACGCTTCAGGAGGCTTTTAATGCCCATTGACATGAACTGTACACACTATACAAAAAAAAAAAACCAAGCAAAAAAAACCAAAAAACCCCCACAGAAAAAGAAAGAATCAAGGTGGGCAATACCATTTTGGGACAAGCCTCTGTTTAAATTATACACAGCTCAATGCAATATTCTTACGGAAAATATATAAATACTTTTTCTTCCTATGTTACAGGTATACAATATAAATCAGATTTCAATGTCTGTTGAGTGACCTACAAACACTAGAACCTCCAAATATGTAGCAGCGTATTACTAAATAAAAAAAGACCACATGGGACAGGGAGAGTAAAGATTTTCCTTGATCCCTTCCCTCCTCAGAATGATTATTTTAGATCACCTCTCGTAATGCAGTTTTAGGGATGCTGACAGCCCAGTATTGGAACAGGTTTTCAATTAAATCTACAAAGCACCTGCCTTTCCATCCCTTAGACATTGCATTTGTGCTATAACACCCTATTCAGCGGCAAAATGGCATGTTACACTTTTTGGCATAAAATACATTTCTCAAATAAAATAGTGTACTTTACAAAGCAACTAAAGCAAAATGTGCAATTTCTGCATGCTGTGGCATTGCCGTCCAACTATGTTACAAAAATAGTCAAAGAAAATCCCCATTCTTTACTGAACGTATGTTCAGTTCAAAATACATCTGTTGAAAACAAAACTATCCAGGGAACCAGAATCAGGAGTTAAAACAAAACACAAGGAGACAGGGGGGTTCTAGCTAAATACAAACATGGTTTCTAGCATGTTCCCAAAGGCCTTTAACAGTTCTCTGAGTTTGCTCTCACCTAGAACACACCTTTAATAAGCACATAATAATAGCAGTGTAACTTAAAAAAAAAAAAAAATCCACCGGACCTGCTTCCAATTGGCTCCAGCGAAGCTCCGAGTAACAGGACTTCTGTGCAGCCCTGCCAGGAGGCGAGCACAATCCTCGGAGGTGCTCGGAAGCCTGGCAAGGTGTCTTCCACTGCAACTGTTCAGCTTGAGCTCGCTTTCATTTACAAGGTAACACCATCTTCCTGTGGCCCAAGCAGGCAAACACCACGACCAGAACACAGACTAGGAAGCAGCAACAACTCTCATCTCTCGCTAGGCTCCGATTATTACCTGTTTCTCCAATACCTACCTTTCTCTTCAGGTGCCTACAGAAGGTGCTGATAGGTTTTTTTCGGTCTCTCACTGCAAATTACAACTCTTATTCAAGACCACTACCTACATTTTAAAATACAATGACAAGACACCTCTCAGTGCAAGGTGTCCCTGCCCATGGCAGGGGGTTGCAACTAGATGGGCTTTAAGGGCCCTTCCAACCCAAACCATCCCGTGATCCTGTGGTAAGACAACAGGATTCCCACTGCTGCCTTTCTAAGTAAGGGCAGCTTAGCTCAGTGTGCCAATCCACTGCGCACTAAACTACCAAATACTTTAGCACTTCACTGTGCCTGGGAAAAAACCAACAAAACCCAATGAGAGCACATGTAGTACATCAGGCCAAGTGACAACTGTCAGATGAGGAAACGCGACTTTCAAGCTCAACGTGCCAGAGGCCCAACGTACCAGTTAGGCACCTCAAAGCCTGACCATCCCCAGCTGCAAGGGATGTCCACAACAGCTGGAAGCGCTCTGCATCTCACCTGAAAAGGTGCCTCTGTCCAAAAGGATGCTTGCAGCACCCAGCTTTGTCCTCCTCCCCACTGGGTGGAGAGAAACAGGCCCTCAGGGAAGTAACTGGGAGCCCTTTAGCTAAGCTCTCTGCCCTTTGGAAAGGGCTATCCCCTTTCACTCTTTGCATACGGAGGCTAAGGAAATCAGCCAGCTAACACAGTAGACTAAATGTGACTGCTATCACAGCCAGCCTCTCCTTCCCACAAATGCTTCCGCCTCAGAGCTGAGTATTTTGTGGTAGCATGTCGCATCACTCCGGAGGTTTCTTTGCCAAGCATCCAAACCGTGCTAGTACACAGTGTAAGTGAACACTACATGCTTTCCCACTTCCTCGACAGCAACACCCATCCTTTGATTGGAAAAGTACAATGCGGGTGGTCTGCAAGCTTCCCTAGCAAACCTCTCTGGAAGTGGAAGCATTGTTAGGGTTAATGCAAGCACGATTTTTATTTCCTACTGTTTTCTCTTGAAGTTTTATCATGAAGCAAATAAACCCCCAAAATAAGAACTATGAAAGGGCTATTTAAAAAAAAAAAAGCCATC